AACGAGCTCGTCATCGTCGGATGGTTCCCACTTCCCGGCGAGGAGGCTGATGTGGTCTCCAAGCTGTGCGGCGAGCACGGCGACGCATACGGGGTCATGTGGTCGGCTGAAAGGATTCGATTTACAGGTACCCACCTGCAGGTGTTAGCTGACTGATCGATTCCGGTCTTTCCCGACGCCACACAGGAATCCTCTGTTTGGATACAACCTCAAGGTTCAAATTGACCGGGATCAACGAGTTCAGGGTATCAATTTTAGACGTCAGGGTTTGTTTCAGTCGAGGTCTATAACTTCAAGGTTTATTTTAGACTTCACATCGAGAGGTCGGCACGAAATCTACGTGCCACCGGTCCAACGACTTTCTCGTGGTCTATCCTGACCCAGCGCGTGATCCGAGTATATACCGCCGTGAGCATGTAAAGGCGAATCTCTCCTCTGGTGAGAACCCAGTTGTATTCTTGGAGCTAGCTGGACTCAGTTTGTGGTTGCAGAATTTATTTTACATATATACTGTACTATATTGATTGTAGAGAAATAGGTGAAGTAGAAAAATATATTCTTTAGCCAAGCTGAAAAAGGAGAAGAAAATGAATGAAAAATTGGATTACCGTAACGCAGCTGGACGCCAACCAACCACTGTCCTACAGGTTCACTAACAATGCTTATCTATTCAATAATAGTAATAATAATAATAATAATAATAATAATAATAATACACTAAGCTCTCTAGATTTGGAGCCTTCAGTTACGCCCCAGGGCGCGAATCAACCTGTGGTTGAGTTGGTTAGGTGAACAGTGGTATCCCCAACCTATCAGGGTTCAAATCCTGGTGCTCGCATTATTCCTGAATTTATTTCAGGATTTCCGGCGATGCGCTTTCAGTGGGAGGAGACGCAACTTCGTAAATCTCAAGATGATATGCCTGCGTGTGTGCGCTCATAGGGATGAGTGTATGCGCGTGTATATGAGCGCTTGTGTTTGTACTGATGCTCAAAAAAAGTTACACCCCAGGGCTATGGGATCGCTAGCCCTGCCTATACGGATGTGTGCCATCGGTTGAAGTTCTAATTTTTATTTCTCTTTTTCTTTTCTTTTTCCATTTTAATCCATGAGCATTTAAAACAATGCGTACAATTTTAAAAATCTTGAATATTTTAAAATTCATGAGCAATTTTAATTCGTGAATATTTTAAAGTTTGTGAATATTTTAAAATTTGCAAACTTTATTTCAGTTTTGTAAAAAAATTAAAATCCATGAACTTTTTTAAACTACTGATTTTTTATTTAAGAAATGATGGTGTTCTTAGTTTGCAACATTTTTAAAAACTCAAATTTTTTTTTTGATTTAATAACGTCACTCTCTTTTTAGAAGAAATACCATCTCCAGCTGCACCCATCCTGATACATGAACAAGAAAAACACTAGAACATGATTAAAACCTAGCCAACGAAGATAGGACTAAAATGAAACAACTGGCCACAATATCTTGCTAGTGAAAAAAAGACTTATTCCCATGAGTAAAGAACTTCGATGCATGAGATTCCACGAAAGAGGAGAACAATCAAGATGTTGAAGATGGAGATGATGATGCTCTCCTCGATGACCAGCTGCAATTAATGGAGATTGCGATGAATTCCTGGGGAAAATCGAACGAGGTGATGGATTGCAGTTCTTGCCAAGAGAGAAAGAGCTGGTTGTGCCCCGAACACTGCCACCAAAACTAGGTGTCCTCGGACTAGTTATATTGCCGTGAAAAGGAGTTACCGAGACATCTCCCATGGGCCCACATGACCTGGTGGCACTGTCTGCACTAGCCCTGCATGCCTTTTTCTTGGTCGTTTCGTGTTTCTTCTTTGATTTTTCTTGTATTTCTAGAGAAAAGATCCAAAAGCTCCTGATAATTGCTCTTCACTATGACTGAAGTCTTGGTGGCTAACATTGCTGGTAATTTATACTTCAAAATATATGATCAAAATGGATCGAAAAACAATTGAAACCAACATGATGACCCATTGTTTTCTACGATGCAAAACACATGTAAAAACACCCCACCATATGCAAGAAATGTGTGGCTCTAGGTACCACGAGGGCTTCACGGCTCTGACTACAGCAGACTTGATCAATGATTCAGTGGAGGCGGCAGAGACGATTAATTTGCTTCGGGCCTGTAGGCAAGAGCCGTACCGAAAACACGACACGACTTTCTTCTATTTGCTCTCTTTTTTCGCGACAATTCTCTTTGCTCCTTAATTGCCCTGCACTTTGGACGTCCGCCTAGACGGCATTCATTAAGATACAAATGAGGTGAGGAGAAGCATTATTTTTTTACGAATACGCAAAGCTTGCATATCTTTCATCGAGAGCACTCGACCTCCCCTTATACTTCGGCCCCGGAAGCTCAGCTGATGGTTCGTCAATTCCTGATAGGAGGCCTCGTTATTTTCACGCACATCCCAAAAGCACGTAGTACGCGAACTATATGCAGGCCATGCATGTTCCGATGGATCTGCATCTACTCCGGTTCGGACGGGTCGATTTCAGATGACAAGAATGGTCCAACTGTTAGTTATACTCAATGTGCAGCTGGGGCCTGTGTCGTACCGTGCGATCGCAGGAAACATGGACGAGTCAGCAAGACAGCAACCCCCCTTCTGCCCCGTGGTCCTCAGCCAAGTCACCTCAATATCTGCTAGACGACATGAATGCCTTGGCCTCGAGCTCCCGTCTGCCCATCGTAAAAATGCCACGAATGCACCATGCCATGAATGCCCCAACTGCTCTTCTTTTATCTGAGTGCACCATGCCACGGTCTTTTATCCGGAAATGAGAGAGGCGTTCCGTGGAGCTCGTTTTGCAAAAATAATAATAATTAAGAGTTTCAAAAAATGCCAATTTTTCTTCTGCAAATACATATGTGTATTCTTTAAGTATGTATAAATTTTCATCAATGAATTTGATTATTTGCATGCTACACAAAAAAACAAATATTTGACATAAATACAACAAAGAAAAAGCCTATTTCAATATGTGTATTTGTCTTTTTTGTATACATCACATACGAATATACTCCCTCCGTTCAGAAATACTTGTCATCAATATGAATAAAAGGGGATGTATCTAGATGTATTTTAGTTCTAGATACATCCCTTTTTATCCATTTTCATGACGAGTATTTTCGAATGGAGGGAGTATATGTTTATGAAAATTTATACATGTATACCAGAAATATATGTCTACATGAAAATGTTTTTTCAGATTTTTTTTTTTAGTTATGAAAGAGGTATTTTGGCTAAAAAAATTATATAAAGCTCAATGAAGCTCGGCCTCTACAGCCACTTTTCGGGAAACAAGGTCCTATAGGAGGGACCTCACTAGAAGCCGAGACGAAGCCCCACTGACAACATATCGGCCGTGCTGTCCATTGTTAGGGAGTGGCCTAATGTAATGTGTCCTCTTATACGTGGAGGGGAAATTGATTGCATAAATAGCAACTGCATTATCTGCACCGAATGATACGTAAGAGCATCTCCAATGAAGCGACCCAAACGAACGGCGCATTTGTTCGTTTTTTGTCTGTTTGGATCGGCCGCCCGCCCGGTGTCGGCCCAGTTTTGCATTTGGGGCGGCAATGCGCCCAACGCGCCGACCCATTTTATGTCCGCATTCAATTTTTGAATTAAAAAAAGCCCGCGGCCGGTCATGCCAGCGGCCATGTCTCATGCCGACCCAACTCGTTCGCCAACCGGCCGACACACATGCCAGCACGCAAAAAATGGTGGGACTTGGAGTTCGACCACGCCACCGCGGCCCCCGTGGTCATGCCCGCGTTTCCTCGAGCCGCCGGACGACGAGCCACCGACCACCGGGGCGGCGTTAAGGTCGATGGGCGCGGGCGCGGGTGTGGAAGGGGCGACCATGCTCACGTCGGGTGAGCACTCCCCGGAGAGGCGGGAGGCCTGCGGGTAGACGTGGAAGCCCGGGACCGGGTTGCAAGCTGATGCGCGGGGTGAGTCGGGCATCACCATCCGAGGAAATGCCGACGAGCCGGTGCTGGCCGCGGCGACGGCGGCTTGGACGAGGTGGTGCTGGCTAGGGTTTACCCCAAGCATGTAAAGCGCTTCCCTCGTTACAGCGGCGACGCGGGCGTTGGTGAACTCCTGCCGCGCGGCGGCGGCGGCGGCGGCCTGCGCAGCGGCCTCATCCCTCGCGCCCGCGGCGTGCCTCCGGCCCTTCCTCTTGGCCGACTCCCTTGCCCGCTGTTCGGGCGTCAGCGCCTTCTTCGGCTTGGTCGCCGCGGCGGTCTTGCGCGGTGCACGAGGCTTGCCTTTCCCGAAGGGGGCGACGGCGCCGGACGAGGCGAGGGAGGCGAGGCCGGCGGCGGCGTCGAGGTCGAGGTCGATGGCGTCCTCCATCGCTAGTTTGGGGGCGGGGAGCGCGCGCTGGCGGGAGTGTTTTTGAAAAAATGGGGGAAATGGTTGTGGCTGGCACCGACAGACGGGCCCGAGAAGAGGAGTAAGCGCGCGCGCGTCCGTCTTGTGTCCGCGTCAACGCAAATCCGGCTCAAAAATGGGCCTGGAATGAGTGGCCCGCGGATAAAAAACGGACGCGCGTTCATTTGGGTCGGCGCGTTGGGCCGTCACTTTTGTCCACGCCGATCCAAACGAACGTGAGCTGACGAAATGGATCGCCCATTAGAATTGCTCTAACGTACTCGTACAAAATGCCGCTGAGAATTTCCGACAAACATCAGCTGAGATCATGAGCACATACTCGTACAGTACAAAATACGTGACGGCCAAGCAGTCTCAGAAACTTCTACGCCCGCGTGCAGCGTTACCGTGTGATAGCAAAGCAACACCACCCGACACGCCCGACGCGCTAGGCTGGGCCAGTCGCTAGACCGCGCTCCGCTGTATATAAAACCTCGCCCGCCGCCGCGCCAACGCCACCACAACCAACCCCCGCCGCGAGACCCAGCGCGCGCCCCTCTCTCCCCCCAAATGGAGCGGCAGCCTCGGCCGCACCTAGCCGTGGCGGCGGAGGAGGCCATCGCGCTCTACGACGCCTGCTGGTTCCACCGCCTCGTGCTCAGCTCCTACTCCCCTCCCGCGCCTCTGACGCCGGCGCCGGCGCCTGAGCGGGAGCAGCCGGAGCAGCCGCCGGCGGAGGAGAGCAAGAGCGAGCTGCAGCGGGCCCCGTCGGGGCTGCAGCGGCACCGCCGGACGCGGAGCGACGAGGCCAAGGCCGCCGCGTTCCACGGCCAGCTGGAGCCGCTCAAGATCCCCAACGGCCACCGCGCGAGGCTCGAGACCATCCTGTCCGGGAAGGACGGCCTGGCGGCGCCGGAGCCGCTGCCGGAGCGCCGGAGGCCGGAGGCGCGGCGGCCCGGCGGGAGGAGGCGCAGGAGCCGCCGCGGGCGGAGCCTGTCGGAGCTGGAGTTCGAGGAGGTCAAGGGCCTGCAGGACCTCGGCTTCACCTTCTCCGAGACCGACGTCGACGCCGAGCTCGCGTCCATCGTGCCGGGGCTCCGGCGGCTGCGGGCGGACGAAGAGGCCAGAAGAGCCAAGGCGGCGGCGGCGGAGGCGGAGGCGGAGGAGGAAGCCTGCAGAAACAGGGCGGCCGCGGCGGCCTCCGACGCGGCGCCGAGGAGGCCCTACTTGTCCGAGGCGTGGGAGGACGAGGAGGCGGAGGTGAGGAGGGTGCTGAGCAACTTCAGGATCCCAGCCGCCGCCGACGGGGCCGACCTCAAGGAGAACCTCCGCCTCTGGGCGCACACCGTGGCCTCCGCCGTCCGGTGATTTGCCTTGACCAAGATGGAGGCAGCCCAACTTTTTCGTGCCGTGCCGTGGGTGGAATGATGAACTGTAAATATTTTTTGCCATGTGCATGCGCATCTTTTCAAGTTATTTTAGCAGCAGCTTGCGTTAGTTTAGTCACGAGAATGTAAAATGTATTCACAACTCAGGTTCACGGCCATGCCTCAAAATGAAATGTGAAAATGTCGATCCGATTGATATCATTGTTTCCGTGTCAGTGCCAAGAAAGCATTTCCGGTTGCTTTGAAGCCAAGAATTCTCCCATAATTCGCTGTGAACTTTTATCATGTGTGACGTGACGTGATCGGGAGGAACAATCTAAGAGCCGGGTGCCGTTGATTTGTGGAAACAAGGTAGCGGAGAAGGCCACTGGCCACCAGCTGCGTTGGTCCGAACGAAGGGAAATGATTCCATGTTGCCTGCCATCCGCCACAAGGCTCTCGTTCCGTGAGTTTCCTTTTGGGAACCTCCATGCAGGTTAATCACGTGACGACGTGCGACCGATGGAATGGTTGGGTTTGTTTATTTGTTGCTGAGTGATTAGCACATTTTCCATGAGCGCTAAAGTATTCAGGAGATTAGGCACGTGAACTGTAAGATGCACGCAACGGATAGTAATTCGCTGTTTGCTTGTAGGTGGCCGCCTATTTGACTCGCTCTCACCAGATGGTACAGGCGTAAACTAGACGATGTCTGTGGGAGTCCGGCAGTCCGTCACGTATGCGCCTCATTGTCATGTCTCACCCAAAAACCTCTTAGCCTCAGAAACCCTCTTCGTGTAAAGCGGTTACCGCACATTCATACTGATCAGTTCAGAGCGGACGTGACTCCACAACGTTGGTGTCGGTTAGAGCAACGAGGTCGGATGAACGGGCAGGCTTGCGCCCGCGACCGGCAAGCCCGAGCAGCATTAACGAAGTCCGTCGCCGCGCTGGTAGGCCTGTACCCGTGATGGGTCGATGACCGCCATGGAGGCGTCCATGTGGCGACTTCGCCACCTCGTCGAGGAGCTCGCCAAGATCAGGGAGGATTGGTCGCTCAACGACACCTCCGCCGCCACCGGCAGGGGCAAGGGCAAGGCTCTTCGATCACGGTCGGCGTTGGCCAAGGTGGCCCTCTGCACGACACAGGAGGAAGCCAAGCGGCTCCTTTGCAAGCGCCAAGCGGCGGCCGACCAGGCCTATCGCCTCCCTGTGCCCTTCCGCCGTAGGGTGGATCACTCCGATGACAACGACGACGATGACACGGATGGCGAATGAGGTGCCACTGGCCATCCCGGACGGGCATACGAGGGCACCGTCCGCGGCAAATTAGTTTACACTTTTTTTTACATTTTTTGTTCAACATACAAAATATCTTCTGATTTTATAAATCAGATCAAACTTTATGTCCTTTTGCATGAATTCCATCGTGTTTGCATGATTGTGTCCTAATTTGTTTGTATTGTACGGAGTTGGGACAAGCGTGGATGGCAGCTCCCGTATCACTCTCCGCGGAAACGCCCGGACGCGTCCGCGGACAAATACTATGTCTGTCTTAGGAGATAGCATTGGAGATGTCTTTAGCGTTTCTTTTTCTGCCATCAACACCTTTTCCACGTAGTCCCGAGGGTAAGATGGGGGCGCCACGGCGAGCTGGGCCAGGAACGATGTGACAACAAAGTCAACGGGGGAGAAGAGTTCAAGATTGACATGCACGAGGAGAGGGGAGGGGGTCCACTATCGTCGAAAATCAGTTAGGTTTAGAGGATGAGTGGAGGGGGATTGGCGAAGAAGGCTACCATGGAAGGGCGAGGCGGGCATGGTAGTGCTGCTGTGCAAGCGGCGATGGTAGGCGGTTAGGCTAGGATCGAGCTGGATGGGTCTCAAGAGAAGGAAGGCGGAGAAGGTGGTGCAACTGTTTGATTTAGATGTTGGGTTTCTATCCAATGTCTGCAGTCAATTTGACTTAACCAGTTTTTTTGAAGGCGCTTGCATAAGAGTCACTCCCTTACTTGGAAAATATCTTATGAGGACAACTTACTACGAACAAGTAAGATTTGTTGTATGAGTACAAGTACATGTATGCCATGATGGTTACACTGTAATTCGATTCATAACCTAGTGGCCCAACCAAAGCTTCTAATTTTCTTAAGACAAAATAACTCAGCCCCGTTTGGTAGCGAAGTATTTTCTAAGCATTTTGAGAATACTGCAGTTTTTGAGATTACCATAGTTTTATTTACAACGAGCTGTTTGTTTGCCCCTAATAACTGTTGTTTTAATATTGTAGTATTTGGCAAACTGTAGTTTTTTCTCTGTTTAATAAAAAGAACCCCCGACCTATTTTAAAAAAACAGGGCGGCGAAAAGAAGGGAGTCCCCTCGTTATCCTTCCCCGCTCCTCGCTCTGGCTCGTTCTCACACCGCCGCCGCCGCCACCCTGTCGTCTTCCATCGGCGGCCATGGGGAAACAAAGAGATGGCGATGGAGAGACCAAAGGTGATTACTCTGCCCTCCATCCTCCCCCATCGCTCCTTCCCGCTTCTCCCCGCCAACCGCCGGCTCCTTCCTCTGCACGGCCGTGCCGTTCTCCACTGTGCATGCCGCTGGTATATGTGGACGGCGCCGCGATGCACAATCTCCTCGATGTCGTCCGGCCTTGCTGACGAGAAGGCCGTCCCCGATTCAGGGGCAGAGTAGATTCTCCTTGGATAGATTGAGAAGCAAGATTTAGTGGCTTAAGGCTAGATGCAACCTAGATGATCTTAGCTTGGTGATAGCTTTATGTAGTAGCCCGAAATATGGCGGAAGACAGTCTGCATCGCTGCGATTTTCAGAAATATGCGTGTTACAGAAGCATTGGCTATCTAGGTCGGCTTATATCTGAAGCCAAAAGAAAGTAGACAGCCAAGCTGCTGCTTGGTCGGCTTATATCAGGCTGCGATTTCAGAAATATGTATGTTACAGAGGCTTTGGTTATCTAAGTTGATGCTTGGTTACCAGCTTACAAATTTTGACAGCCAATCAGGCTGTGGAAGTGTAAATAGACTGTCTAAGACAAGCAGTAGAACCCCAATCTCGCTGTTGAAATGCACAACAATCATACCATAGCGATTTTGCTGTTTTTCATTCAGACAATTCAGATTCGAGTATACCTATTCGAACTTGATTCTCAAAAAAGACAAACCACACCTGGTACTTTTAGCAGAGGGTAGGGGCTAGAGGTGACAGTTCATTAATTTGTAGCATGCATTTTGTAGCTAGCCTGGTTTCGGCCCACCCATAACAATTTTGTTCTATCATTAGTAGTTGCTCACTACAGATTTTTGCCTAGCTCCACGACAGCCTACAAGCCTGCGTACATTAGGATATAGTATTTTGTTTTGTCAATGTAATCCATGGTGTGGCGTCATGCACGAGATATTAGGATTTACTGAAGTTGATTTGTTTTAACCAGATATTTATGATAATTATGATATTTGTTGATTTCGAGTAGGGTCCTTGTCTATTTTCCTTTTCTATTGTGATATGGGTCTTGTAGTCTTGGAGATATGCTAATCGGGACATGCGTCCCATCAATTGCTCCGATACAATCCTTCATAAAGACAGAAAATACTGATGACAAATATGTAACAATATTTACAAATGATATGTAAGAACTACAAGATGCGTACCTGAAAGTACAGCACAAATTTAGGGTTGCTTGAAACCTTTTGAGGGACATTTATTGGTGGCAACTGTATGAGCTGTCCAGATAGTGACATAATACTTTGTAGCACTTCATTGAAATATATACTTATGGTTTGACCACTATGTTGAAATTGCCCTTGCAGAGTACGGTTGCTTGCATTTGCCGAAAGGGTATATAAGAATATTGCTACTTGCTCTTCCACCGAAACAAGCCTCTCATCTTGTAGAAGTTGTCTCTCTCGGAAGCACTTGACCAAATTATGGAATACATATTTTTCCATTCGAAAATCTCTTTTACATCTCAATTCATGACCCTCCAAAACTTCTCTCACGTACTTATGTCCCGTAAGGATGGAAGTGTGAATACGTTGGCGATTTGTTGAACCTCTCTCGCCTGTGTATACGGCTTTGATGATGACTTACAGAGGACAGAGACGATGCAAGTATCAATTGAATGCGCCGACCGTGGCCACGCGATTCAAGTTCTCACACAGCTCTTCGTGCCCTTCGACAGTGACGCAGATGACTGGCCAACAACGGCACGCGGTGGGTCGCCGCCTGAACGCGTAGCTCCGCTGCGCCTCAATGGTGGCTCGAAGAAGGGCAAGCCGCTCCGTCTAGGTGTAGCTTCACCAGCAGGTGAGTCACAGGAGACGCCCTGCCATGGGTGGTCTTCTTTGTATACACAAGCTAGCCATTGGGTTGTTATGCACGAGTAAGGAATATCCAGCTAGCTAGCTACAATAGCTCAACAGAAATACTATTCAAACGGCCGGCCAGCTGCATGCATTTGCACTGCTAACGGCTAGGTAATACAGTGTTTTGCAGCAACAACCAAACATGTTCTATGTATTGTGAATACTTCAAAATTACTCTGTTATGATAAAACCATGTTATCTCATACCTATAGGTAAAATTACTGCAGTTTTTGATATTTTGTTTTTTGTAATACTTTGCTACCAAATGGGCCCTCAACGTTTTTTTATCTCATAGGCGTAGAAAAAGATTGAAAACAATGTTGATTTGCTCATATATGATTTATGTGTATTTTTCTTGTCAATGGACACATTTTACTAGCTATGGTGGTGGCGGGGAGCTAGGCCTGTCAGATTCAACACATATTGAAGGATGGAGGTTTTCAGTCGACTATCTTGATATGCACATTAAGGATTGGAGTAAAGAGAGAAGTACCACGGCTGAACAAGAACTCGTGCTCCAAGAGAGGACAATTTTTATGTGAAGGCGGGGGAAGCAATGAACGAGTGTTGAAGTGTGAGTGGGTAAGTAGTAGGTGTCTTATTTTGAAGGAATC